CAATATGGTTTAAAGTTAAAGCCGAGCTAAATCGAAAACGGGTATATGGAAAAATAGTATATCGAGTGGATATACAGATTAAGTACTACTATGGATACCGTATGGAATTTTATTGCTTATAAATAAACAATAAATTTACAAAGTACTAAAAAGTAAGATACAGAGTATATAGAAACCAATTATCCTGTAAATTGATCCTGGTATGTAAACCAAAAAATGATGAACTTCTCTACAGTTTTCTTTTCTGTGACGTTGTTCTAAAGTTACAATAAGGATGAGCCCTGCGAAAGAGTGGATCCAAACTTGATAACTGGCGGTGATATATCTGCAGAATTGGAAGCTAGAGTAGCAGCCAATATAAGTTATAGTTGAGCAGTGGTATAATATCCACTACAATATTCCAGAAATCGACAAAAATATATCCACGTTATGGAAAGAGATTGTAACGTCCGATCAGAATCGCGCGCGTGGTCAATTACAGGATGACTCCCAGGTACTCACTGAGTTTTTAGATAATTTGCTAATTTACAAGAATGCAATGATTTCGATGAATCGCATGAGTGACCTCAACTCGAGTTTTATACTAGAAGTAATAGCAAGACGCCTACCTACTCGACTGCAAAGGAAGTGGGTGAAGATGAGCTCCCGTATAGAGGATGAGGGTATCGAGCCAAAGTTTGATGATATCCTGAAACTGGTAAATACTAGTGTCAATCAATCTATGAGCAAGTTCGCCAGTCTATTACATCTCACCCCTAGAATAGAGCAGTTTGAGAGCGAAATGCAATCATTGATGACGAGTAGGCCTCAGAGCGATGGATATCGAGAAGGCTCCATGATTTATAGTAATGCATATAGACCTAGTGAGTGTAACAGGTTTCGTAGTACATCCTCAACAGGTAAGTTACAAGGTGGAAGACAAACACGGTTGTGTTTTACACGTTTTCAAGAGGTGCATACAAAAGTGAACTGTGAACCGGTGAGCGAGTTCAGTGATAAGCTAAATGTAAACTCCAGGTCTGACTCCGAATTGTGTGACGATAACGGTGTTGTGAAGAAGTCTGTTGTTGCAACTGGTAAGCCGTTGTTGAATGGAGTGTCACAGAATAGAGTTACTGCTTCAGAGTGGAGTTCTGACTCCACAAGTTTACAAAGTATAACTAGTCAGAGTGAAGATATAAAACCTTCAATGATTTGTGAGGAGGAACCAAAATTGTTTACTTCTGTTATTAAAGAGTTTGAAAATGATGAACTTGACGGTAAACTGAATATTTGTGGTGATGATCATGATACTTCACAGTTGTCTTTGGTTGATCATTATGAGATGAGGGATATGCCTACTACTGCTAAGTTAAATAAAGGTTCTGTACAACTACAACGTGAAGTAGAATTGAACGCAGATGCAGTCCCAGAAGGTGTGCATACTTGTGAGACAGTCAGTGTAATTGATCAGCGTGTAGCTCACCTATCATCAGATGATAATGCTAAACCCGAACTAATAGTAAAGGAGAGCAGTGGTAGTAATCTTGCAGTTAGACAAATATCTGACAGCCGAACCACAGCAGCTTCTGATCCACCGCTAAGTTCATCACCTTGTGTCACTCAGTCATCGTTGGTGTTTTCATCCACAATGAAACAGATGCCCATCAACTCAAGTATCTTCTGCAATGACTATGATAGTATTGGTGCGTTTGAAAAGACGAAAGATATTGCTCAGTTTAGTGAGAATAAGCCAAGTGTAAACGAAAGAGTAATTGTTAAATTGACTTGCACGAATAAAGGCATTTCTAGTTTCAAGTTACTATTTGAATGCTATTATCTTTGATGTAAATTACTCTGTTTTTACACTTGGTTGATGAGATATGCCGTGTGTTTGTTCGTCATCTATATTCTACGATACAATGACATGGGCGTGTTGCCGTTCAGATTTGAGGATTTAGCTGATAGAAGGAAGTCAGCAAATGAACTCTGCGACGATTTTCCAACCTAGGGCGTCAACCTGAGAAGGGTTGTAGGCGTACTGGTGTAAGTCCTGCAATACTTCAAAGGAATTCCACCAAGACATGATCGACGAGGTTGTTTGTACTATTTGTATATACGTGTGGTGTGTCATATCAATTGGTGTATTTTGGATTCATTGTGTTTACTTGTTGTTTTCGTATCTTGTTGTTATTGCGTAATTTTGTTAAAATTTTCGTCGTAATTACTTCTGAAGTTGTTTCTTGTCTTCTACATCCGTGAATGAATTGATTGATGTTAAGGACAGCAGATGGGGCGTATACGCCGGGGAGGCTAGGCTATTGCTGAGAATGAAATGCACACGGAGATAATTGTTAGCTGCGGTCCGACACGCCGGGGAGAAAGAGTGTACACGACTGAGGCTCGCATGCGTCACCGCTACTAGAACTGAGGCAGAATGAGTGACAAGCGATTGCAGTGGTAATTGGTAATGAGTAGATAAGAGGATGTGCGTAGAGTATCGTGAGTTGGTGCTATGGTCACGTTGCATTCTGCAAGAGTCATTCTAGTAAGTGGCGATTGTGTTGGAAGATGTCAAGAGGAGGTCTCTGTCTGGAGGCGCAGGTCGTCATTGATGTGTGAGATTGTGCTGTGGGTATGCTTGTGGTGTGTTGGCTTTTCTGTTTGTTTTCCATTTCAGCTCTGTCCGTGTGACCCAGGTTCTCGCAATCGCATCCAAGTCAACGTGCATTGGTCGTGAAGGAAAAAAGGGTTGGATCCCTTTTATGCCGGGGAGTGTCAATGGAGTTGAAGATTGAACGATCAATTCTTGGTTGTTAGCTTAAAATCAACTTCCCCAATTTTCGCGGAGGCATCAATACGACAGTCATCGTCTCATCGGTCGCTGTTCAGAAAGAAGAGTGAAACATCGTCAGAAACCTTAGTTCGCTTATTCCTTTTATATGTTGGTGTAACAATAAACAAATATCAAGCGGCAGATCGGTGTTTTGGTTTTTGCGTCCGTTATAACTAAGCGTTTCCGAAATCTTCGAAGAACAGCGTGGGCCCGAGCGTAGCGAGAGCTGGGCATTAACGGTTTATGAGACGTGATTGACAGATGGTGACAGGCTCACTGTAGATTACTTTGTCGTGAAGTAAGTATGGGATTTCCCTCGTCGACTGCATCCATTTTGTAAGAAGTGCCGTTAAGTTATAAACTTTGGAGGCACTTTCAAGTGCCGTTAACTCATCGTCAAAGTCCTTTTGGGAGCGTAGGCGCTTGATAGATTCGAGAGACTCGTGGATTGAGAGCAGTAGTGACATATCCTTAGGGGAATAGTACTGTTTCTTCAACTTCCTTAACTTATTGCAGTATGCCCTTGAAATGTATTCAGCTTGGTGTCTACTTAATTTCACTATTTTCTTTGGAGCAACGCTGTCAAGACAAAGGCTAACATTCTTGTAAAATAGAGACACTACGGCCTCCAGGGAGTCAGTGGTAAAATAGTCATCCCACTGACAGAGTTGAATAAGCTCTTGGACTGATCCCCAGTCTGTATGTTTGTAACTACGACATATTGTGCTTCCTGAATCTTGTTTGTTTCCTGTATTTAGTGGTGAGAAAGGCAGAGAGCAGAGTACCATTCTACGGTCACTACTAGAAAATCTATTACCAACATAGGTGGAGGCTGGGATTGTGTCATGACAAAAAACAAGGTCCAACATGTTGTCACCACGAGTAGGTGTCTGGACGTGTTGTTGCCATCCATAACAGTCGATAGTGGCAAGTAATTCGTTGAGGCTTTGGGGGCCGGAACTACTTAACCAACTGACTTCTGGAAGATTGAAGACCCCAGCAACTATTTTGTAGTTAGTACTAGGGGAGCAGGTGTTTGCAAATGATTCAGTTAATAACGCATCAGTTTCCTCGGTTGAGTATGGGGCACGATAAGCACAGTCTATGAGAAGTTCGTACTTATTTTCACGTAAGATGACCCAGAGTGAATCAGGTACCTCAATCACTTTTTCGTCTTCCAACTTACTGACTACAAATGAGTTATGTATATATATGAGACATCCTCCAGCATGCTCGCAATCTCTATTGCACAATGTATCGTGTAATCATTTATACCTACCTGCACAGTGAGTACAGAGGACGAGCACCACGATTCAGTAATCAGAGCTACGGTAGGCTTGGCGATTAATAATAATGTCCTTAGTTCAGATACCTTATTGAATCAGGAACGTGCATTAATCAGCAATATCGTGAACTAGTCACGGGATACTGCAAACTAGCTTAAAATATCACCATAACTTAAAACTATTTGTGCGTCAGCACTGGAAGAGTTTGTGAGAGATAAGAGGATCGGACTGGGTGTCTGTACATCGGGTTTACAGTGCAATGACGTGCTTCCAGGTGTCATGAGTTGTACAAGTGATTGAGGACAACCGGAAAATATAAAATGTGATCCTGGAAGTCAGCGTAGTAGGAGTTCGGCTTGGGTTGACGGTTAAAAAGCATTGCATCAGAAGGTCTACCAATCCACGTGCTATTCGTCACACTGGTGTACATCTTCACTTCGTTTTTATAACTTTAAGAAATTGCGAGGGGAGGTGCTTTGGTTGCAAGACTTTGGAGGTTTTGAAGCTTTAAGGTTGAGAGGGTAGTTATATTGTCAGGCAAATTATTTCTAAGTTCCCATTGTTACAAAGTCGCTCCGCACTGATAAATACGATGTATTTTCTTCGACTTTAACTCCAAAACACCAGTATTATAATAATAATAATAATGTATATTTTCATATAAACATACAAATTTACATGAAAATGCATGTCATTTTTACAGGCACGATCAAGTATGATATAATATCAAATCGTAGATTGTCTACAAGTTAATAATGTTTCAACAGTTAAATATTTGATATATATATATAAATACACATTGTCTGAACTAGGCTGTATAGTTATTGAATTGTACAGTTGTCCTCCAGGTTGAGCGGGAAAATCGACTTCGTTTCGTTTTCATCCCGTGGTTGTCGGCATACGATAACCAACCAATATTGAGGTAAGTATAACGTTTACAAGGGATTGAAAGCTGTTTTTAGAAAAGTAAAAGTGCTAAGGTGAATCAATAAAGTGTAATGAAATGGGTAAGTGCAAATATCACTAATAAATGCATTAATAAAGGAAACTCCCGAGGCTGACAACGTTCATTTGCAATGTATAATGCTTCCTGTACAGTTTGCACCATCATGATGTCTACTTTTCCTCTGTATCGCGGTACGTTCAACGTTTGCGTTACATTTTTACGTGATTCGTTACATAAAATTTATCTTGTTGTAGTACTTGCACAAGTACTATACCACTTCCATACTTGTAACCACTAACTCTTATTTCTAATAGTTATGGTTAATCAAAGTAAAAAGCAGCGAACCCAATCCCCTGTAAAACTGGTGTCTAATTTAACGTCCTTGATTGCTACATCAAGCAACACACCCCCAACAAACGGCTATAGTGAGTCACATAACTCACGTGTATGCCGTAAGCGTCGAGCTGAAACTGAAAATAAAACTGTACTGACAGCCAGTATTAGCACTACTCCTAAAAATTCGGTACCCTCTGCTCATACAGAACTCCTCCCTTCACCTTATGTGCTTATGGAGAAACTCCAGCCATCAAGCTCTTTTTCAGTACTATCTTCAGAAATAGAACTTCTAAAGTTGTCTATAGGAGAACTTAAGGCTGAGTTAAGGGAAATAAAAAACAGCAAGTCAGTAAATGCTGGAAACATCGAAACCAATACCGAGATATGCAAATTATCAGATCAGATCAGCGATATCAGATCGCAGGTCTGTGGACTGACACCTCTAACTATCCTCATGAAAACGGTAAACCTTAACAAGCTTGACACAGAATCGGTAACTAAGGTAGATAACCTCATTAACTTTGTTACCACAGAAGTAACAAAACGACTCGACGCAAAACTCAGTGCTATTGTCTACAACGTTCCGGACAATGAGGCAATAAAAAAGGTACAGCGCATCTTACTTAGTGAAGCGAAAATGCCTAACTCCAAGACTAAGTGCTACAGGCTGAAGAAGAGTCAACATGAAAAGTGCTGTCCTATTCGATTTCAGTTCGAAACACCGGCAGAGACCAGAAAATTCATTCACTCCCAACACACCCTATCGCAAGCCAGAAACTACAAACATATAAAGGTCGGGGTGGACAAAACAGTTATAGAAAGGCGCGCACACAACTATCTCACTAAGACTAATTGTGAAATAGGTAATAGGACATTGCAAGCAGCCATTATTCCCAACCCTGTGAAAGATACAGTAGACCCCACCGCATCACCCCTCTCAAAACACACAGAAATATCCCATCAGAGTGCAACACCAGCCGAAAGGCCACTAGACTGTAACCAAATAAATAATAAAACCATACCACCCATCACCGCAGAATCTAAAATGCCACTAAATAACCCCAGAAAAAAAGTTAAAACCCCCCGAAACTCGACTTTGTCCTCTCCTAGCTATAATTCCATTGGTAAAGATAAGGAAAATATGCCCCTAAATCATACCAACAAAAACAGTGGCAGCTTAAATAAGCCCACACTCCCCACGGTTAATAGTATTAGCACTCACAACGTGCTAAATCGCACCGTGGCACACACTAATATCCAATGTCACAACGATGTCACCCTAAATAGTACAAGCGGTAACAGTCAGAACTCGGCTACCAACAACTCAGGGTCTTCAGAGTATGGCACACAAACAAATTTCGACCGGATGTATGGTACAAGTCTGCTGGGAACTAACCCACAATGCAGTACACACGAAACCCACACAAGGACACAACTAGCATCAAACAATAGGTGGAATAATAAGCCATGGTCATCACAAGGATCCAATCATTTTTTATCCCCCGCGTCCCTGTCAGCGTTGAAAAAACAGCTGGTAGGGATGTTAACACTCCTAAACCACTAGTGCTGGCTCCCTCCTTGCATGAAAACAGGAACGGTCTAGTGCACCCGTATCCATTGGACACACTTGACACTTGCACAAGTATAGGCCAAATAAAGAACCCTACCCACTTCTGTAACCTAACTAAAAATAAAAGTTCCTTAGTCTATAGCAAATCCAGTACTCCAACTCCTAATTCTCCACCGAAAACAGCACACAACAACTCGATAGACATAGGTGAGCATGATGCTGGAACTCCTCTTAACATAGGATCGTCATGTCCAGCAGAACTACTGGGTGCTGAACCATATTCGGGGCTGACTAACGAACTTAAATACTTCAAATGCTACTTCAACTCTCATCTTTACGTAATCCTCATAAATGCTAGATCTGTTCTAAATAAATTGCCGATGCTCAGAGCACTCACAGTAATATACAAACCCCCTGTAATTGTCATCACTGAAACTTGGTGTCATTCGGACATCCTGGATGATGAAATAAGCTTAGATAACTACACACACTTTCGGTGTGACAGGGAAGGTGGTAAGGGAGGGGGTTGTCTCATGTACTTCTTGAATGAACTTACTGTATCACAGCTAGAAAGTAGTACACTTAACATGCCTGAGACTCTATGGGTTAATGTACACTTAAATAACGTAACAGCACTAATTGGATGCTCCTACAGAGCACCTGGCACCTTTAGTAACTACGAGACCCAACTCATTAATACTCTGGAGCAATTAACCGACTTACAATACGATCATAAGATCCTATGTGGGGACTTTAACTTACCTGAAATCAACTGGGATATACCCACAGGTCCAACTAAATTTGACAAGTTCTTAGACACACTGGATATACTTGGCTGGAAACAAACTGTCACTACTCCCACAAGAGGTAACAACGTACTAGACTTAATCTTCTGCCACAATATAAGCCCCCTTTCAACGCTAGTAGGTTCTGAGTTCCCAGGGAGCGACCACAAAACAGTAATGTGTGCACTGCCAATTCCGCTGAGTAGCAATGCATCTCATACCTCCACTTCACAACAAGTAATATATAGGAACTATAGTAAGGCAAACTGGGCCTTAGTTGAATCGATGCTAAGATCCTCCAAATGGGATGAATACTTCACTACTGATGACCTATCGAGAGCCCTAACCATCTTCTACCATAACTCAAACATATGCTTAGATGCTGTCATTCCACTCCAAACACTAAAGGTTTCCCCACACAGAAAGTCATACATAAAACCAAAGGATCGTAAGAAACTGAAGAAACTCTCAACAAGTTACTTCAAACACCACGACTTTGGCACTCTAGGTCTAATACTTAAAACCCTTAGCTCCATCACACAAGCTCAAGATTTCCGTATGAGAAAGGAAGAACGCATCGCAGTAGCCAGTCCTGCTAGAGTGTATGCACTCACAGAAATCTTAAGGAAGCGAATGAATCGCAAAAATCACAGCATTCCTCTCCTCATAGACAAAGGCAGGCTATGCACTAACTCTGCAGACATATGTGAACTATTCAACAAAACGTTTGCAGGTAACTACCTTAAGCCCTCAGTCCAGCTACTCGATATACACCCTATTACTAAAATGGCACCAACTCCACTGACACCAAACCAAATTAGCACTGTTCAATTCACTTACGCTGACATTAACCAAACTATAAGAACCCTCAAAAGTTCAAAAGGTTTCGGTACCGACGGTATATCATCTTACTTCTATAAATATGGTGGCCCTGACATTCCTCTACTACTGCTTAAAATATTCACAATGTCCCTAGAAACCCAAACTTACCCTGACATATGGAAGACTACATTCATTATGCCTAAACACAAATCTGGCTCGAAAACTGAAGTCAGTAACTACCGGCCAATCAATATCACACCTATAGCATCTAGAATCATGGAGAGACTAGTCAAAAATAACCTAATCAAACACATGCTTAGCTGCAACATCATAAGTCCGAACCAACATGGATTCCTGAAATCCAGATCATGTTTAACATGTCACCTAGACTTCTTCAATTTTGTAACCAGCAGTCGTGACAGACGGCAACTAGTACTTGTCATCTACTTTGACATTTCTAAGGCATTTGACCGTGTTGACCATTTACTGCTAACAAATAAACTGAACTCCTTAGGAATACGTGACCCATTATTAGGATGGCTTAAATCATTCCTTAACAATAGGTCCCAAATAGTTAAACTCGGGTCTGCAACCTCCAAACCTAGCCCTATCACTTCTGGTGTAGTACAAGGTAGTGTCATTGGACCCCTCCTATTTACACTATACATCAATGACATATGCGCTTGCTTCACGCACGGGAAACCATTCATCTTTGCAGATGACCTAAAAGTAGCTTATACATTCCAACGTGATGACTTAGGGAACTTCGAGAATGTAGTACAGAAGGAATTAGATAAAATGGCTGCTTGGTCGTCCCTATGGAATCTCCAATTTAATCTGAACAAATGTGGCTGGATCTGCTTCGGTGCACCCTCAATCGACCTGAAATTAACGCTCCAATCTGCTAACCTAACAAGACTCCGAAATGTCGTTGACCTAGGCCTGAGGTACTCTAGTGACTTGACATTCTCAGAGCAAGTAGCATCACAGACTAGAAAATCGAGGATGCTCTTAGGATGCATACTCAGGAACTTTCACGACAATGAAGCCAAGCTAATTCTGTACAAAACATGTGTCAGACCACTACTAGAATACTGTCCATTTATTATAAGCAGCACTCGCACACGTGACAAGCTAAGGATGGAAAGTATCCAACGATATTTTACCTCAAAACTGCTTGGCTACGATTGTAAGAAAGACTACATCTCACGGTGCATGATCCTAAAACTCGACCCACTTTGGACAAGGCGACTTATTATAAACCTAATATTCTTCTTTAAGGTCCTTCACAAAATATCTTTCTCAGGTAACAGGGACATACAATTCGCACAGGAAGGTTCTTACGATCTGCGTAACCAAACTTCCACAGTGACAACTCATTCTTTTAAGTCAACACTCCGTGAAAACTTCTTCACAGTCATGTATTCTAAAATATGGAATAGCCTACCCCTAGATATCAGAACTTGCTCTTCGGTTACAAGCTTCAAACGCTCTCTATACAGACTGTTGCACTCTACAGATTATATTAATAAACTATTTACTCCTAGAACGAATCAAGCACTAATCTACTACAGCACCTAAAAGACGCACTTCAACACCCTTAGCAATCTTTAAACTATAAATAAACTAGCAGCATGGATGCATAAAGACATAGTACGGAACATACAGGATTAGTCTACCCTTAGAAATAGGACCTATCCCTCATTGTAACCTTCAAACGCTTGCTATGTAAACTGTTTTATTCTAAAGACTATCCCTACCAGAACCCATTACTTATTTCTAAAACGCATCAGTCATTAGAACAATAAAAACGCTCAGACTATTAATACACATTATGACATTAAATAAACTCTAAGACTTCGCATAAATACGTGAAAACGCAGATACAATATAGAAAAATGTTTACTTAAGTATAATTAAGATAAACATTTATAAATGAATCATGTATTAATGTTCTTTTCATGTTCACATACTTTCTCTTTCTGGTATTTTGCTGCTCCTATTCATCTTCTGGTCGAGGTCGAACAACCCTGCATCTAAACTGAAATGAGGATTAATTCCAAACCGTCTATCTCATAACCACTCAAATTCCATGAACGATCCAATTCTACCATTTGAAGACGCTGGCGAACATGCTGTAAATGAGTATTCATGATCTGAAATGAAGAAGCAACTGGTTTTCAAACAGTTTTCAACGTTTTACTCAACTTACGAATACAGTCCGCCATGCAGACACAAATGGAGCAAATGGAGGATTCTGGAATCGACCTCGGCACCATTTGATGCAGTAAAACAACCCAACATGACCTTATTTAGTTTTCGTATCCACGATCAAATTTCTTTCCTGTTATGAAACTACGATAAGAGTGCTGAAAAAATGGAATAAATATATCACTGATCTCAACATAATACATCAATAATCTTTAAGCCATGGGTGCTGCTCACAACAAAGTTATATAAGAGAATTGACTTCAAGCTTTATTTTTCCCAGATATCTGTATTACATTCATCTGATGTCTGGGTTTTTTGTTAATGCGAAGACAATATTTCTATATCTCTTTATGTGCTACACAAACAGACTTTATAGCAGACTGTTCCTACTGACTCTAATGTCAGAAAGAACAACCAAACTGTAAATTCATTATACATTAAATTGTGTGTAATTTATATAATAACTTATCCATGCCTGTACAATTGGTATGTTCCTGCATAAACAGGAAGAAATATATATATATATACTAGAACTGAGGCAGAATGAGTGACAAGCGATTGCAGTGGTAATTGGTAATGAGTAGATAAGAGGATGTGCGTAGAGTATCGTGAGTTGGTGCTATGGTCACGTTGCATTCTGCAAGAGTCATTCTAGTAAGTGGCGATTGTGTTGGAAGATGTCAAGAGGAGGTCTCTGTCTGGAGGCGCAGGTCGTCATTGATGTGTGAGATTGTGCTGTGGGTATGCTTGTGGTGTGTTGGCTTTTCTGTTTGTTTTCCATTTCAGCTCTGTCCGTGTGACCCAGGTTCTCGCAATCGCATCCAAGTCAACGTGCATTGGTCGTGAAGGAAAAAAGGGTTGGATCCCTTTTATGCCGGGGAGTGTCAATGGAGTTGAAGATTGAACGATCAATTCTTGGTTGTTAGCTTAAAATCAACTTCCCCAATTTTCGCGGAGGCATCAATACGACAGTCATCGTCTCATCGGTCGCTGTTCAGAAAGAAGAGTGAAACATCGTCAGAAACCTTAGTTCGCTTATTCCTTTTATATGTTGGTGTAACAATAAACAAATATCAAGCGGCAGATTGGTGTTTTGGTTTTTGCGTCCGTTATAACTAAGCGTTTCCGAAATCTTCGAAGAACAGCGTGGGCCCGAGCGTAGCGAGAGCTGGGCAT